TTTTTAGTCTGTTTTGGAGCCACACCTGGCTGTGCTTGGGGCTTACTGCTGGCTCTGTGCTCAGGGATCACTCCTAGCTATGCTCAGGAGACCATGGAATGCCATGGATTGAACCCGGGATAGCTGCATGCAAGGCAAGCAAACACCAGCCCCAGATACACTTCATTTTATATTGCATAAACTATCAGTCTTTTTCCTAAAAGATTATTGCCTGTCTTTCTTTCTTTCTTTCTTTCTTTCTTTCTTTCTTTCTTTCTTTCTTTCTTTCTTTCTCTTGCCTGCCTGCTTGCTTGCTTTTCTTTCTTTCTTTCTTTCTTTCTTTCTTTCTTTCTTTCTCCTTCCTTCCTTCCTCCATCCCACTTTCTCTCCCTCCCTTCTTCCTCCCCTTCCTTTCCTTCTCTTTCCCTCTGACTCTCCCTTCCTTCTTTCCTTTTCTTTCTACCCTCTCATCACCTTCCCTCCCTTCCCTTTTCTTTCTTCTTTTTTTTTATACTGCCAAGGACTGAACTTGGGCCTCATGCCTCAAACATGCAAGAAAGTGTTCTACTGCTGAGTTACATATATTTGGGTTTTTTTTTTTTTTGGTTATACCAGAATGTGTTCAGGGATTACTCCTGGCTCTGTGCTCAGGGATCACTCCTAGTGGGCTTGGGGGGGCCACATGTGATGCTTGGGATTGAACCCAAATCATCTGCATGCAAGAAAAAGGTCCACCCTACCCGCTGTACTAAGGCCAGTCCTCTTTTCCTTTTTACATTATTATAGTTTAGACTACATGGTTACAACAGTGTTAACATTGATAGTTTTGATATACAGATCTATACCATATTTCACCACCTCCGAGGTACTCAAGGTCCTCCACCACCAGCCCTGTCACCTCCAATCCACCTCTTCCCTCCCTTCTCCCTCTCCTACCACTGCTTAGTATTCTACATTGTATCCAAAGCCAAGAGTTTGTCTTTATTCAAAAAATCTCTTCCCTTGTTTGTTTCTATATATTCCACAGATGAGAGATATCACCCAGTATTTGGACTGCTTGTGGGTTTTTTTTTGGTTTGTTTTTGTTTTTTGCTTAACAGGACACCCTCCAATTCTATCCAAATTGTAACAAACAGCTTAATTTCATCTTTTCTTATAGCTGTGTTCCATTATGTGTATTCCACAATTTCTTGACCCATTCATCTGTAGTTGGGCATTTGGGTCATTTCAATATCCTGGATATTGTATTAAATATTGCAATAAACGTAGTTGTTCATGTAGTTTTTTTTTAAATTAATACTTTTTAATTTTAGGGTAAATGCCAAAAAGTGGAACTGGTTCTACTCGGACTTTTTAAACAAAGAAATCTCCACATTTTCTTATACAGAAGCTGAATCAGATGATATTACCACAAACAGAGAATACGATTCATTTTCCATCTCTGCCAACCCTAGTTGTTTCCAGTTATGTTTTGATATTTGCCATTTTCACTGCAGTGAGATGACACCTCACTGCCATTCTGTTGACAGTTCCCTGACAGTAAGTGGTGACGAACATTGTTTCATATATTTACTGGCTACCTGTGTATCTTCTTGAAGGAATCTCTGCTTAGCTCCCCTCCCTATTGGGGGTGGGGGGGAATGAGATTATTTTCTGTTGCTGAGTGAGTGCTTTATATAAGTTAGGTATTCATCCTTTATCTGATATAGTATGTGAGAACATTTTCTCTCAGATTAATGATTTTCTTTTTCTAAAAAATATTTATTTTGATTTTTGGGCCACACCTGGGGGTACCCAGGACTCCAGGACTTACTCCTGGCGCTGCATGCAGGGGTCACTTCTGGCAGGATCTGGAACCATACAGGATGTCAGGGATCCAACCTGGGTTGGTCACATGTAAGGTGAGCACCTTACCACTGTATTACCTCTCTGGCCCTGATTAATGCTTTCCCTAACTCATTCAGTCAATAGTAGTTTTCTTTTAAAAAAATATTAATTTTTAAACTGAACCCTTTATTTATTTTTTTGGAGGGGAAGGCAATGCTCAGGGGTTATTTCTGGCTCTGCACTCAGCAATCACTCCTGGCAATGCTCAGGGCACCATATGGGATGCCAGGGAATCCAACCAGGGTCAGCTGTGTGCCAGGCACATGCCCTACCAGTTGTACTGTGCTCTGGCCCCAACAGTGTTTTTCAAAGGTGTAAATGTTAATGCGTCAGGGGTACAATGTTACCACATCACTGCCAAAGTGTTACCCAGCACTGTCCATTGGTTCTAGTTAGTCCCCTCTCCTCCCTCTGCTTTTGTAACCTCAGTTCTATGTCCAGAGTCTAAGGGTTTGTTCTTACTGGACACTGTCTATTGCCTTGCTTTGTTTCTTTATATACCACCTATGCACGAGATCACGAGTATTTGTCCCTCCCACCCCCCAAGACTTATTTGGCTTAGCATGATACCTGCTAGTTCCATCCATACTACAGCCAAAGACAAGATTTCACCCTTTCTCACAACTGAGTAGTATTCCATGGTGTATATGTTTTACAACTTCTCTACCCACTATCTGTCTTAAGGCATTGAGGTTGTTTCCAGATGTTGGCTACTATAAGTAATGTTGCCACAAACAAAGGGCTACATGAACTTCTGGAGTTGCTGTGTTTGCATTTTGGGATGGGACGCCAAAGCAGTGCATAGGAGGCTCAGAGGCCATTACTGGTGGTATTACCCAACCAGTAATGCTTGGGCTGGCAATATGGCATGGCTCTGACTCTTGCGAGCCACCCCACTGGTGCTGGAGGGCAGGAGTGGCGGGGGGGGTGGGGGAGATGCAATGCTGTGGGTTGAACTCTCATCCTTGTGCATACAAGGGAGCCCTGAGCTGTATTGTCAGTCCTGGCTTTCTTAAGAAAGATACTTTAAAGTTCATTCATTTTTACACCCCCTCTCCCCAAACAGGGAGCCAGCTCAGTGGCAAAAAGTCTTGTGAGCCTAAGGCTGATGAGGTAGTGAGCTCAACTCCTACCGCCACCCCTCATTCCTGAGTACATTTCCCGCAGCTCTGATACTTGGGACCTCTAATACCACAACGCACTCATGTACACCACCACCGTGTGCATGCAAGCATCACAACTGAAGCCTGAGATCCCGGGTGAGCAGTCCCCTCAAGTGCGCCGCCACCACAAGCCAAGAGCGCAACCCCAGGAGTGCTGCAGCCGACAGACACACCAGCCACACGCTTCAAGCGTGCAATGTGCAGGCAACCACGTGTGCGACTTCTGGTCACAGCCGCAGCAACAGGAAGGAAGGGAAGGGGCATCCTTCCTTAAAGACAAAACCAAACCAAAATCCTCTCCCTGGAGGCTGGAGAGACAGTCCAGAGGTTAAGGTCGGCCTTAACAGTCTGCCTTGCACCCTGGCAGTCCAGTTTGAATCCTGAGCACAGAGCCTGCCTGCCTTTATTTATTTTGGGTTAGGGCTGGAGCGATAGCACAGTGGGTTGGGCATTTGCTTGCCTTGCACACGGCCGACATGGCTGACCCGAGTTCGATTCCTCGCCCCTCTCAGAGAGCCCGGCAAGCTACCGAGAGTATCTCACCTGCATGGCAAAGCCTGGCAAGCTACCTGTGACGTATTCAATACGCCAAACACAGTAACAAGTCTCACAATGTTACTGGGCCGACTCGAGCAAATTAATGAACAACGGGAGGATAGTGACAGTGGGTTGGGATTGGGGTCACTCCTGCCCATGAGCAGGCCAGGAGCAAAATCAGCCCTTCTACCTTCAGCTGGGCTGGAGCAATAGCACAGCAGGTAGGGCGTTTGCCTTGCAAGCGGCCAAGATGGCCGACCCGAGTTCGATTCCTCTGTCCCTCTCAGAGAGCTCGGCAAACTACCGAGAGGATGTCGCCCGCACAGCAAAGCCTGGCAAGCTACCCGTGACATATTTGATTTGCCAAACACAGTAACAGTTGTCACAATGGAGATGTTACTGGGCCCGCTCGAGCAAATCAATGAACAAAGGGAGGACAGTGATAGTGACCTTCAGCTTACACCTGCATGTGGCCCCTTCTCCTGCTACTCTGACCAGTCCCAGCTGCTATGCAAGTGCTTGACTCTTCAGGGGCTTTCCCTTCTGGCCCCACAACACCTGGTGTAAATCCAAGACAGCCTGTCCTGTCTCCTGCTTGGCATCCTCCCTGGTCCCACGTCCCACCCAGCATCCTCCCAGGTCCTGTCTCCTGCTGGCATCTTCCCTAGTCCTGTCTCCCGCTCGGCATCCTCCCGGGTCCTATCTCGTGCCTGGCATCCTCCTAGCTCCTGTCTCTCATTCTCCCCAGTCTTGTCTCATGTTGGCATCCTCCATGGTCCAATCTCCCACTCAGCATCCTCCCCAATCCTGTCTTACACCCGGCATCCTCCCCAGTCCTGTCTTCTGTTTGTCATCTTCCCCATCCTGCATCGGCATCCTCTCCAGCATCCATGACAAAGCCGGAAATCCCTACTAGATCCAAGTGACCTTGGATCAGGTCCTCCCACTCCCTTAGCTCAGATCCTTCCCACTCCCATTCTCACACTCCCTACCCACTTGGCTTCCGAGTTTCCACTGTTCTTTCCCACTCCCGGACCTTTGCACCAGCCCTTCTGGCTTCCAGGACTTTGATACGACCAGGTAGGCAGTGCAGGGACTCCGTGAGGCTGGGGCAAGGCAAGGCAGAAGGAAGGATGCTGCACCCGGGCATCGCAGGACCCTGAGACCCCCATCTCTTGCCTCTGTGCACCTCCCACCTACCTCCAGGCTGAGGGAGGCAGGAGGCAGAAGTGAACAGGACTCCGTGGCATGCTCATCAACAGTGCCCCAACTTGCCCTGCAGGAGCTGCCTGGCACAACCATGGGGCAGCTGCTGCGAGTGGGCAGAAGGGGACGACCATGACTGCTTGGCTGCCACAGGGGGCGCGAACACAGCTGCTGAGGCCTGAGAGAGGGGCCTTGTGGGCCCAGGGTGGGTGGGAGGGGCAAGATTACCTGCAGGCAGGGGTTCTAGAGGGTGAGCATGCGCGCTACGAGCTGTACCTCCACCAAGCGGGGCCCAGATGACCCGGCGGATGGCCTGCACCCAGTCCTCCATGTCCCGCTGGGAGCTGGCCATGAGCAGGAGCGCCTCGGGGTTGGCTGGCACCTTCTCCTGCTCCCCGGCACCACCTGCAAGACAGGGAGACAGAGGCTTACTGCGGGGATCCCTGGGCGGGAGTCGGGGTGCCCACCCTAGCACGCTCACTCACGACTCTGCTGGCCCCTCAGTCCTCACACGTCTGTCTTGGGCCTGTTCAGGCTTCTCTGTTCTCTCTGTCTCTGTGTTCTCTCTCTCTCTCTCAAGCCCCAACAGAAATCAGGAAAGGCACCCTGAGGCATGCTCTCAGAGAAAGAAATGCAGCTCAGAAATCTGGTGACCTGGGGAGCCCCAAGACTTCTTATTCTGTTTTCAAGTAAGTTTTAAATCACAGTTCAAATCACAGTTCAAGAAGATTACTGTGTCTGTACCCTGGGATCTGATGCAACAACCTTTTCTCACTACCCTGAAGGCGGGACCCAGTGTTCCACAAGGATTGGGACAGGAAGAAGCAAATGCTCCAGGATTTTCCACCTGAACCTAGATATTGGATCACTGTCCAAAGGCAGAAAGATGGGAGTGGGGGATGGGGAGGGGTCTGAGGAAGCAGAGTTAACAATTGCTTTTTCCCTGGAAATTAACCGGTGGGTGTCTCATTTTTGTGGAAATGAACTAATTTTTGGGATGTTATAGCTATTTAAACTGAACTTTATTGGCAATTTAAAGGGATTCTCAAGAATGAGGTAGTCCTTATCCATGCTCCCCTCTTCCCACCATCACCCGCACCCCACCCCATCCCATTTCATGTAGCGGGGACACACACACACACACACACCCCTCAGAGTCTCAAAATCTGAACGAGTAGCCTCTGTGGGTTGGGTGAGGCTGAACCTGTGTTCCCCAGGGGGTGGGAGGGCAGTTAGGGAGAACTATGATGCTCGGCCATTGCCTGCTGGAGTCCACAGCCCAGGGTTAGAGAATGCACTGGGCCTCATGCTTAGTGCAGTGCTTGGATCCTGCTCAAGATTCTTCTAGAAGTTCAGACACTGAAGCTAACAGACACCCCTAGCCCCCTAAGGTCCTTCAACCTTCCCAATGACAATGGAACAGAGGTATTGTTCTAACTGCATTTTGTGGATGAGTAAACTGAGGCAGAGTGATTATGAAACTCACCTAAACTTCCACAGTTGATTCATGAGCAGGCCATGGATTCAAAGACCCCAATTCTGGGCTCTGACCACCCCTGCATCACCCCATTCCACACATACACAAATGACCAGGGCCAGGCTGATGTGGGGTATGTCCCCAAAGAGGGAACGTTCCTGAACAAGGGCTGGAGGTCGGGGAGTGAGCAAGCTAAGTGGGGAGGCCTGTGGTTCTGAAGTGAGCAAGAAGACGAGGTATCTAGGGCCCTGTGTTGCCTGCCAGAGCCCCTCACCACCACCACCAACACACACACACACACACACACACACACACACACACACACACACACACCCTGCTGCTGTGGGCTCCTGGGCAACAGAGCTTTGGGGGAAAGTAAGAGAACTGGAGGCAGAGAGCAAAGAACCTGAAGGCAGAGAGGTGGCACAGGCCTGTGGAGATCAAAGTCTGCACACTCACAGCCCGGCCTCCTGTGTGAACACCACCACCAAGGCAGAGACTGCGACTCTGCCTCTTTAGGGCTCCACATGGCATGGACCACGGGTGCTGGAATGGCGGAACGTTCCAGATGTGGAGAGGAAGCCACAGAGAGCACCTGCGGAAACAGTCCTGAAAAAGCATCTTGACTTGGAGATCCCCAGCTCCAAGAATTTTCTGTGTCTCCCTAAACAGCTACTCAGGTCTGTACCTCACTTGGATTTTTCACCTGCAAATTTTTTTTTCTGAGGGAAGAAGGAATCAGAGGTTTCCCGATATTTGCAAGTATCCTGTCCAGGCTGTGTCCCAGATGACAATCCTCCCATTTTATGCTCTTGTCTGTCTGTGTGATGTCCGAAGGTCTTTCAAGCATGTATATTTACTGAGGTATGTTTATGTACATGCATATTTAGCCTCTAGGAAACAGTTACCAGCTGTTTTCCTCGGTGACCAGCTGCTGTGGGTTCCGGTCGCCCCTTTTCCTCACAATTCACAACCACCTGTGAATCTTCTAGGTGAACTCCAGGGGAATCATTTTCCGTTTTTGAAAAGGGGTTGATTTCTTTTTGAGTTTTTTATTTCAATTTGAGATTTTTTTTACATATTCTGTTTACAAGTCCTTCATCAGGCTTGGCAACTATCGCTCCCAGTCTGAGCCTTTCTTGCTAGCTTTTCTCTTCTCTTAACAAATGCATTTCTAGGAGAAGTTTTCATTTTGACTCAATCCAGTTTATCATCTTTTTCCTTTTACTGAATGTGCATCTGGTGGTGAATTTAAAAAACCTTTGCTTAACCCAAGGTCATAAAAATTTTCTTCTAGAAGGGCTTACATTTAGGCATGCAAGTTCATTTTTTGTATATGGTACAAGGATTGACATTCATTCTTTCATATACAGATATTCAGTTGTTTGAGAACTTTTTGCTCAAACAGACTCTTCTTTCTTCATGGATCTGCCAGCGTGTCTACATATGCAATTATGCCATCTGCAAATAAAGACAGTTTTACTTCTTCCTTTCCAATCTGGGAGCCTGTTATTTCCTTCTCTTGTCTAATAGCACTGACAAGGACTTTAAAGACAATGTTGATTAGGGATGATGAGAGCATACTTCCTTGTTTTTTCTTGATCTGATGGCAAAAGTACTTATCTTTTTTGCCACTAACTACATCCACTGTAAAATTTTGCAGATTTTGTCCTTTCTCAGCAATTTTTTCAGAGTTGTTATTTTTAATCAGGAATGGAGACAGGATTTTGTCAAATACCTTTTGAGATAGCTTTCTCTACTGTAATATAAAATTTCTTTGTTCAGTTTGCTAATAAAATGAGATAAGTTGATGCATTTTAATATGTTGAACCAACCTTGCATTCTTGGGATAAATCATTCTTGATCATAAATGTCTTTGTTGTAATTGTTGGATTAATTTTGCTGAAATTGTGCTGACAATTTTTTGACTGTACTTATTATTATGAAGCATATCAGGCTACAGTTTTCTCATTTCTTATAATGTTTTGGCTTGGTTTTATCATAAGCTGTTGGTATTACAGAATGAGCTGGTAGGTATCACTGTTTTAATGTGTTTGAAATAACTTTGTAGAGCTGCTGTTTATTCCTTTAATATTTAATAGAGCTCACCTGGGGAGTTGTCTTTATGGAAAGGTTACTCACAACAAATTCAATTTTCTTACATATATACACATATATACATTTACTTCTTCTTGAGTGGGTTTTAGATGTTTAAGGAATGAATCTGTTTCATCTATGTAGTTACATTTATTGGGATAAAATTATTTACTGAATTTCTTTATTACAATTTTACTATGTGAAGAAGTTGTAGTGGTTCTCCAAGATAGGTAACTGATATCTTCATTCCCCCGATCAGTCTTAATAGAGGCTCACTGATTTCACTGATGTGCAATAAAACAAAACAAAACAAAGTTTTCATTCTTTTGATTTTTTAAAAATTAAAAAAAAATTTTTTTTTGCTTTTTGGGTCACACCTGGCAATGTACAGGGGTTACTCCTGGCTCCTGCACTCAAGAATTACTACTGGAAGTGCTCAAGGGACCATGGAATGCTGGGAATCAAAACCGAGTTGGCCTTATGCAAGGCAAACACCCTACCTGCTGTGCTATCACTCCAGCCCCTGTTCTTTTGATTTTATCTACTACTTTTCTGAAAAACAAGCTTTATTTTTATGTGATTACACAGCATTTTCCATTGTTAGGCCATCTATGATCTCTGCCACCACAACACACCCAGCGTGCAAACTAGGAAGCCGTCACACACAGTATGGCAGTGTTCCTGCAAAACTTCAATCACAGGCAATGATGGTTGGAAAGATCGCTCGGGATGGGAGGTGTGTGCTGAAAGTAGATAAAGTACCAAACATGATGGCCTCTTATTATCTGCACTGCAAACCATAATGCCCCAAAGTAGAGAGAGAGTATGGGGGAAATTGTCTGCCATAGAGGAAGGGGAAGGGGCTGGATTGGTGGTAGGGAGAGGATACTGGGGACATTGGTGGTGGGAAGTGTACACTGGTGAAGGGATGGGTGTTCGATCATTGCATGACTGAAACTCAAACATCAAAGCTTTGTAAGTGTAGCTCATGGTGATTCAATAAAAAAAAGTAATAAAATTTTTAAAAAAACTTTAATCATAGGAAATAGGGGCTCTCCTGTGGGCTGGAGTTGCCATTCTCTTCCACGGGTTTCCCATTTGGTCTTTATTTCTTTTCTTTGATTTAATCTGGTTTTAACTTGGTCTCCTTCTTCTAGTTTCTTAGTATTATACTTAATTATGCCTCCAGGACCAGCTTTAGAAGCTGCTTCAGTACTAGCTTTAGTACTCTGTTTTTTTCATCTTATTTCAATTCAAAATACCTTCCAATATCTCTCTACAGTTCTTCTTTGGTCTAGAAGGATAATTAATGGGTTACTTAGAAATGGGTCTTCACATTCTATCCTGAAAAATATTGACAATTTGGTCTCCCTGACGCTAAACTCTGACTCCTTAACTCGTGGAGTCCAATGAGCTCCACCTGAGTTTTCCCTTCCTATCTCATGGTTTTGAAATTTTCGCAGAATCTGGAACATCTGTAGGGTTTACCCTGCTTGTTTCCCATCTTTATGGGAGGGAGTCACAGGTCTCCTAAGTTTACTCTTTAGTTTTTGATAGACTGTTGTATATATTTTGTCCCTTTTGGGTGTACTATTTTAAATGAGAGTAAAGTCACCCCTGCTGCTCCATCCTGTCCCAAGGGAAGTGCAAGATCACTTCTGGGGGACCACTCTATATGGAAAAGTATGTAGGACACACTCCACATAGTGGCACTTAGCACTCATTAACATGCTAGGCAGGAGTGTTACTCACTCATCCAACAGATGAAGACAAGGATGTTTGGGAAAGTTAAATAACTGGAGAGGGCCAGGATTCCAATACAGGTTTGTTC